TGCATTACAAAACCTTTTGGTTGTGATTTATGGTGTTGTTCTTAAGATTTGTGTAGCAAGAGTAAAAATAGTACAAGTTAGTGTTTTGAATGATGCTTTGAAGACCATATTCAATGTAGAGAAACTTAGGAAGTGCTAAGTCATGATCATGCCTCCTTTAAGAGTGATCATCAAGTTTCTTTTAGTGATGCACAAGCATGGTATTGATCCATGTTTATTTGTATCTATTATTTTATTTTTAATTCATAAATAAATTAGAATTTCTTTTGGGTTCGGTTTATAGGTTACACTAGTGAGTTTAAGTTTGTTGGTGATCACAAGGTCGGTAAAATTGAGATTGAACTGGTCATGCGTGTGTGTGTGTGTGTGTGTGTGTGTGTGTGTGTGTGTGTGTGTGTGTGTGTGAATGATGAGTGCTAGATAATTATTTAAAAATGAGTTTTTCTCATATATAGTCTTCATACTTTTTGAATTATTCTCTCTAATATCTCATATCTACATAACATACCTTAAAAATATTGACTTGACCATAAAAGTGACTTTTTTTAATACCTTTCGACACTATTTGAGGATAGCAAAAAAATAAAAATAAAATGTATAGGTGTGGAATTGCCACTTAGTTTTCAAAAGGTGAAAACAAATAACACCGGTCTCAAGAGTTTTAAGTAATGGGATTGATTACACAACTGTAGAAGACTACGACCACCCTAGTGTGCCCTCATAATGAAGTTACCTTGTCTTTCTAGTTTAGAAAAATTCATTTATGTAACTTACATTTCTATCCTGATTTGTGTGTTCGTTTATTTAGGGCCTTTTCTAAACAGATCCTAAGAGAGGTGAATTGGAGACCGATAGAAGACTCAATTTCTCACCTAAAATATCATTGGATCATTAGAGCCCATTGAAGAAGGTAAAGGTTATAGCTTAAAGCCCATTGCAAATTAAAGCCTAATCCCACATAAAAAATGTAAAAAAATAAAAAATGAATATGGATCATAAGCCTAAATTCACCTAAACTATCATTGGATCATTGGAGCCCATCGAAGAAGGTAAAGGTTAAAGCTTAAAGCCCATTGCAAATTAAAGCCTAATCCCACATAAAAAATGTAAAAAAAAAAATGAATATGGATCGTAAGCCTAAATTCACCGCCAAACCATAAAATAAAAATAATTACAAATTCATAATAATAAAATAAAATAGACATAGGCCTCAAGTCCATATCATCCGATCGCCACTTTAAAATATTAATTTAGTCTAAGGCCAAATTAAGAGCTAAATCTATGAGAAGAAAAAATTAGTAGCACTACAAAATAAATTAAAACTAACTCAAACCATAGAAATAATAAAATAAAATAAACAATAAGAAAAAGGCTCATCATTGGAACAAAGTCGAGTTTCAAATCCTAAACCTACTCCCTCTAGACCGACCTAGACCGGCATCACATAAAATTAAACATATAGAAACCATAAATCACATAAAACATCATCATGAAAAATAAAATAGCCAATAGGCCTCCACAAGGTCCTTGGTCTATTAATCTTAATTTTTTTAAAAAAATTGCTAGCCTATTAGCGAACTTCATCATCGACTCACGGTTCCTCAAGAAATTTTTATACAAAAAATAAAACTACTACATATTAAGTTATTATCCTTAACCCTATTTTTTTTTTTTGAAATAATAGTAATAATAAATATATATTAAAAATAAAATAAGACAAACCTTAAAAAATACTAAATATTCTCTACCCTAATAAAATCACACACACACATCAAAAAATTTAAATTGGAATCCATTTAAATCTATCAAATAACATTAATAAATCTTAATTTAAATATTTTTAATTAAGCCTAAATTACATAATTTCAATTCAATTAACCATCATAACTCTATGTTAATCACATAATTGATATTACGTAATATAAATCAATAATATAATCATACAATCTACAAAAATTCAAATGAAAATTAAACAAAAAAAATGTTAAAGTATAGGGATATAATTACCAAATCGAAGTTCGAGACTCGAATTAGGCCCAAACAAAACAAAGGGAAAAGAGACGCATTCGATGCGTGTGGTGCATGTTCCAAGCATCGATCGAGCCACTCTCACATGTAAGGGAGCATGGGTTATTAGAATGATGTTAGATCAATGACGCTGGCTTTGTCTTTTCCTTTTAGTCACAATGGTCCAATGTGTGTTGGATTTTGATGACTGGAGGAGGAGTAGCGGCTCCGTGAACTTCAACCTTTATTTCTCTCTTTTTTGAGGTATGTTAGTCTTTTTGAGTTTTATTTTTTTACCGTTAGGTTTTTTATTTTTTCTCCCTTAAGTGGATGTGTGTTCTCCTTCCTTTTATGTGTGGTATGCAAGATATTTATAGGGGTTTTTCTAGGGTTAACCTAGGATTTTTCCTATATTGGTTTTTCCTATTTTATTATTAATCGAGCCTAACCTAATGCCTATCATATAGCCCCATCATGATCTAGGCTTGGTTCCTTCATTTTTTTCTTTTTCTTTTTTTGTATTTTTATGGGGTAAAAATAGGGTGATGACATACACCATCAACACTAATGCTTGTGCTCCATACTTACAAGACTTTAGATATTGATCTATATTTATTTGTACTTGTTGTTTTATTTTTAATTCATAAATAAATTGGAATTTCTTTTAGGTTGTGCTCGTAGGTTACATTAGTGAGTTCGAGTTCATTGATGATCATAAGGTTGGTAAAATTATGGTTGAACTTGAAAGATTGAACAAGTATGGGGTTAGCTATCCTCGTCTTGATGTTCGAGTCCTTGTTATGCGTGTGTGTGTGTGTGTATAAATAACAAGTATTAGATAATTAGTTAAAAATGAGTTTTTCTTATATATGGTCTTTATACCCTTGAAATTGTTCTCTCTAATGTTTCATATCCACATAACATACTTTAAAAATACTAACTTGAACATCATAGTGGCTTTTCCGGGTACCTTTTCGGCACCATCAACACCAATGCTTGTTCTTCATACTTGCGTAACTTTAAAAGAAATCACCATCATTTTTCTAACTCTTTCGAGAAGCTCAAATATCAAGCATAATAAATATAGATGTCGAAATCTCACGCATCATTAATAATCTTGATTGTTGTGATAGAGCGAGATGATAATAAAACATCGTAGAAGAAGAAAAATAATTGTGAACCGTATGCCATATATATATGTTACATAACATATGGTCTTTATACTTTTCGAATTATTTTGATGGAGACCCTTTATTTTTTTGTGTATTGATTAACTCTTCTATTCTTTATTTTTTTTTTGTTTTCTTCCCTTTGCTACAACGTCGCTAGTTTGTAAATTAATGTGATACGTCCACTTCTAAATACATGACATGGTCATAGATGGGATCCCCAAATAGGATATCAATCAAAATAATTCAAAGCATACATAGATTCAATCAAGTACAATTTGAATGGTATAACGATTAAATTATTATTTTTCATTTTTAATTTTTATGTTATTATTTTTTAAAAACCTCATTCTAAATGCACGAAATGTGTCATATATGAGATTCAATTACAATGAAATTGTGAAGTATTTTTTTAAATTGTCATAATAGATTAAAAATAATAAAATAATACATATAAGAAAGAAAAAACAAACCCAACATACAATTATTAAAATAAAATATGATAATGTGCAATATCAACTAGTCAAAGATTTCTAGTCCAACAGGTCTTATGCTCCACAAAAAGTAAAAAAAATTGACTATTTAACAAATTCAAAGTGAAAAATGGAGATGCTCCTTAAAAAAAAGTAGAGACTACATCATGTTTTCTTGTTTGATATAAATAATTAGCTATTAGTCGAATTGTTATTGTTTTTATTTTAATTTTGATGAACATATTTGTATTTTTTTTTATTTGCATGTTAAGTTCATTTTGTATGTACTTTATTATTTTCAAATTAGTATAATCATTTTAAAAAAATTTCTTCACGCTTTTATTCTAACAAGTTCCTTCATACAACACGTTCAAAGGCATCAAAATGAAGTCTTAAAAATCAATAATATGGAAATTATAAAGAAAAAAATAATTTTGTTTATGAAATCTTTGAATTGTACTGATTGAGTCCCCGTATTTTTTGAATTATTTTGATTGAATTTTTCTATTAGGGTTTCATGCATGATACATGTCATGTATTTAAGAATAAACATGTCATATCAATTCACTAACTAATGACATGATAATGAAGGAATGGAAACAAAACAAAGTAAAGAATAAATGAACTCAATACAAAATTTCAATTAAACAATTCGAAATGTATAAAAACTATATAATAATCCATTTGAAAATGTTCATATATATACATACATTGTATCACTTTAGTTTGGTATAGTAAAACTAAAATATTTAGAAAATAGCAAGAAACATTAAGAATGATTGAAATCCTTACTAATGAAATATCCATGAGGCATGAGCATTTTCAAAATATTTTTAGGTAATAAAAGTACTCAATGTGTATGGAGGAATATAGAATCAAATATCATTTCCAATATAAACTCGATACATATGGTCAAATTTTATGAAGTATTCATACTTTTGCTATTAAATCCAAAAATACTAATACAACAACAAACAAATTACTAACATAATGATGAAATAAATGTCCACGATAATATTCATACTATAATTAATTAACGTTGATAAATTAATTAAATCATTAACACATGATACTTGAGATCTATTTTAACCAAATCAATCAACATTAATTTTGTTTCTCAAATCCCATCGAAATTGCTACGTATCTAGTTTTATTTTTAATTAAACAAAAAAACAAATTAATCGAATGACCGAGTTGAAAAAATCCTACAATTAAAGGGACTAAACATATGGCAAGTCGCCTCTACAAAACAACAGCAGTTACTTAAGAGCTCAAAAGTCAAATCTCCAAACTTACGATTCACTCTCTCTCTCTCTCCCTCCCTCCGTCTCCGTCTCCGTCTCCGTCTCCCATGGCAAAAACCGATAAAACCAGGAAACTTAAAACCCCCAAAAAACCCGGAACCACCAGAAAACAGAAACCCCTAAAAAAACCTAAACTCAAGAAACGCAAAACCAAACCCATCCCTTCTACAACCCGACAAGCCGAAACCGAAACCGATTCCGATTCCGACGCAGACGATCTCTCAACTCTCCTCGAACCCTACACAAAAGACCAATTAATCGACCTAATTACCGATTTTTCCATCAAAAACCCCTCTTTGTATTCTCTAATTGAGCAACACGCGGACCGCGATGTCACTCACCGGAATGTTTTTGTCCATGGCTTCTCCTGGGACACCACGCGGCAAGACCTCGCATCTGCCTTCGAACCCTTCGGAGAAATCGAGGAATGCAATGTTGTAACAGATAAAGCAACAGGTAAAGCAAAAGGGTATGGTTTTGTTTTGTTTAAGTCGCGAAAAGCCGCAATTTCTGCATTGAAAGAAGCGAAAAGAATGGTTGGTGATCGGATGGCTAGTTGTCAATTGGCTTCTGTGGGATCCTCTAATGCGGCGGCGGCGGCAGCGGCCAAAGGTAAGGAACTGGATGGTGGGGTGAGGAAGATATATGTGAGTAACGTGGGAGTGGGTATTGATAAGGAAAAGTTGAGAGATTTCTTTGAGAAATTTGGAGAAATTGAGTATGGGCCAATCGGGTTTGACAAGGAGACTGGGAAGTCAAGAGGGTATGCATTGTTTGTTTATAAGACTGTGGAGGGAGCCAAAAAGGTATTAGAGGAGCCTCATAAGATGTTTGAAGGGCAACAATTGCGCTGTTCAGTTGCGACAGAAGGAAAAAACAAGAGTAATCAAAATGTGGCACTGGGAAACCAACAAGTGGGGCAGTACCAGCAGCAGCAGGTGCATCAACAGTCTCAAGGGCAGGTTTTGGCTGCCGTGGCGGCAGCCCATAATTTGGCATTGTTTGGGCAGCATCCCGGGCTTAATCCACTGTACAACGCATTGTTGGGGAACACGGGTGTTGGTCGAGGCATGACAAGTCCAGCAATGGCGGGTGCAATTGGCCAGAGTGTGGCAACAAGTCAAGTGGGAGGATTAGGAGTTGGGAGTCAGTCGGCACTGGGCGCTTATAGGGCTGCCCAAGGGTTGCAGCATGTTTATCCTAGTACTACGCAGATTGGGCAGGCAGGGATGGGTAGGGGTCAGGGAGCTGGTGGATCATTTGCTGGCTATCCATCGTATATGTGGTATGGTTTATTTAAGCTAGATTTCGATGATGCTGTTTGTCTGTCTATTTTTTTAACCTTATGTCTCTCTGCATGTGCAAGTTTAGTGGTTGGTACCGTCAAAATATTGATTGCATTTCCTGATTTGAAATGTCTAATAACCGGTATAATTCCTGCAGAATTCGCATTTAAATTTTGTGTTATTGTATAGTTTATACTTTAAAGTTAGTGTTTCCTTTACTGTTATCTCATAATAGAATTAATAGGAGGGAGTTGATAGGGAGTAGGAACTAGGAAGATTAATTTCAAGAAAAGCTTCACTTTGGGGTTTTATGAGGAAATCCTAGCTCGAGATATAATGCAGGAGGGACCTTGGGCCTGAATCCTGGAATTCTAAGTGTCAAGTTTAGAATATTCGAACTTCTTTTGATATATGCATGGAATTTGACCCACAATTTAATGTGATTTTCACCCTTTCAAACCTCAGAGATCTCCCCTTTGAAACCTATTTTATCCCACTATTAGTTACAGCAAAACACCCCAAAAGCCTCAGAAACTAGTTCACTGCATCAGACCTTCTCCCTGAACTAAAATCTAAATTTAGGAGCTGTGTTTTATCGATTATAGAGTTTTCACGTATAAGACTCAACAACTTAAACACTCGGTACTCTTTCTCTTTCCCTAGTTTTCTTGCCATTAAATCTTTGTATTGAAACCCTTCAAATCATAGTATAATATTTTCTTTGGCTGCCTAGATCAGTACATGCATTTGCATAGGGAAAGTTGTAGCATGTAATAGTGCGTGAATAGTTTGGAGTTTTTTTTTTTTTTTTGCTAGTATAGGACAGGAGTGTTTCTTTTTGGCCTTGATCTTTAAGATATGGCAATTCAATCTCTTACTTTCCCTGCTGGTGTTTCAAGTGTGGTCGGTGTGTTTGTTTTTTGCTTCAATTTATCATATTTTTCTGGATTCATTAGCATCGAATATTTAGAAATTATGGAGTCCATTATCACTCGAAATCATCTTTGTTCCATACTTTCAGCAATCCTATTTTTTTTTTTTCCATATCATTCTTTCCTTCATCTTCCTTTTTTTAACGAAGCTTATTCTTATTTTCTTTCCTAATGTTAGGCTCACTCTTTCTCTTTCTTTTTTCTGTTCTTTTGCCTAGAACATGTTTTGGTTTTATAAATCTTCTTTTCATATAGACGAGATTATATTGCTTTTGTTAATTTTCTGCCAACAACATTTTCATGTGATATCCTCACTGCACTGCAGCAATCTGCTATAATTTCACCATCACATTGTCTAAAAGGCTAATTGATGCTACTCCCATTTTTTTTCCTACTAAGTTGTTTACACCGTCACACATTAATTGTCTCATTGTACTGTTTATTTTTAAGAACTTATTACTCTCTTTATTATGAGATTTTCAGCTTCTTAGCTGCATGTTGATTTCAAAAACTCCTAATACCAAATTAGTCAGGTCTGCAGTTTTCAATTATATTATCTAATTGCATACGTTCTTCCTTCTCAGAAAGTCATGGCATCTGATTTCATATTCTGAAGCTTAACTCTGTTTACAAATTTGAATAAAAATCTTTTGGTTGAGAGGTCAACTGTATTTATCTGTGCATCTATCTTTAAATGATTGAACTCCATATTTGCAGATCATTTGCTGTGAGCTTGAGGAACAATGTCCATGCTCCTTGTGGAATTTTTTCTAGGTGATAATGTGCATCATTTGCTAGGGGGAATTTGAAGTTGGAATATTCTTATAGCTTTGTTAAGCTTGCCCAGTTTGACCGAACTTTGTGAACTATTTCTTAGCTTCTTTATCTTTATTTTCTTCTTTCTCTTCTTTGTCCTCGACACTTTCTTTGACTTACATTGTAAGATTTTGTACCTTTTACTTTTCTATGATACAGTTTAATTCTTGATATTTTGGGTTTTTTTCTCTTCTTATTTAACTTGTGTTTCAATTCTGTAATGTGGAGCCATGATTTCTGTCTTCATCTTCACATTTATATTTGAACGCTCAATTTTATGTTTATGATCCATGGGCAAATTTGCTGGACAAAGTAAGTATTATCTATTTTATGTTAATTTTGGAGTATTATTTTATATTAACTACTTTATTCAAATATTAGGGTTTACAAGAGTAATCTGGTTATTCTATAGCAACCTCCTTTCATCTAATATATTTAAAGGATCATGTTACCTAGTGGACTTTTAGCTGAGGTATGACATATCCAGCAAGCAAACAAATTCTTGAAATACTGTTCGATAATTTGGTCAATATGAACGTAGTTGTGTGTGTGTGTGTTTTGCTGCTTTTTACACATTTTCATTCGGGAGTGATTTGAACTACAAGATACATTAATAAATTGTCTAGAGATCTTGTGGTTAATCTTGGTATTTGAACTCTACTTATGGATATCTTCAATTAACTCAACTATGCCTAGTTTCTAAACTAGTTGAGATTGACTTCATGGATTCGTTTCCTTTTTTTCTTTTTTTTTCCTTTTTTTATATTATTATTATTATTATTTTTTTTTTTGGGGTCGCTCTCTCTACACTAATAGAAACCATCTTTTTGCGTTTTTTCTTATTTTAAGCTTGGTCCATCAAAGTGCACGTTTTTCATCTACTATATTTTGGTTCCATTATGGGTTGCAGATGAGTTGTCTTCCTTTCTTATTTTCTTTTTCTGGGTTGAGTGACTTCTATGATTTTTTCTATCTTTGATATTTCTCTTTTATTGGGTTAAATGTGCATCTAGAAGATTGTGAAATATGTAACGCTATACAACTTTTCTATCTGAGGGTGGCAAGAATACAAAACTATTTCATTCTTTTCTTTTTCAGTTTGTTTTATTTTCTTTTTGTTTTTGTTTTTTCGTTTTTTTGAAGAATACAATGTATGAATAGCTATAAATTACGCTATTGCACCTTGCTGTTTTTAGAGATGAAGCGAACCATGGCAGACAAATATCTTACAATGGTTTTATTTTTTGTCTAATTTTGAGCCATAATTTTATATCTATGTTTCATAATGGTTTAGTGACAAATTTTACCCTCACTCTATTGCAATTTGACAATTCAGATTCTTACTATTGAATTGCGTAATTTAAATCTCAAATTATTGGTTTTTAGGCAAAACTAATTTAATTTTTCTAGTTGTCTTTATATATAACAGTAAATTGGGTTAGCCGTTACTTGTAATTCCAAAAAGATGTTGTTTTAGCATTCCGTTGTTAATTATTATTTTTTTTTAAAAAAAATTTTAACCCTCTAATCTTGAACTAAAAAAAAAATTTTCTTATAAAATATTATAATTTTTAAAAAAGTTCAAGATAAGGGGAGTTAAAAATATTTTTAAAATATATTTTTTTAAAAATGTAATTAACAACGGAATGTTAAAATAACGTCGTTTCGGCAGTCCGAGTAACCGTTAACCTAGTTGATCTTTACATATAACGACAATTAGGAAAATTGGATCAATTTTGTCTAAAAACTAATAGTTTGGGATTCAAATTAAGCAATCTGGTATTAAAAATCTGAAATTGTCATATCGCAATAGAATGGAGGTGAAATTTGCCATCAAATCGTTTCATAATTGAAAACATGTTTATTCATCTGTTTCTGTGGTTACTTTGTTATGGTCCCGTGTCAAGGATCATATCACAGGTCTATGTATAGGAAAATTCTCTCTTTCCGTTCTTTCGGTTCCTCCTTTTCCTAGAGAACCTTATTTTGACAGTAATAATGGAGGTTTTTCCTTAAGAGACCTCCAAACTCTCTCAAATCTTTTTTGTTATAAGTCTTTTTCTATACCTTTATTCAATGGTTAAAATTCCTTTTAATGCCTTTATTCAATTACCATTCACTCTTTATATAGTAGAGACGATCAAAAAGCAAAAACAGACATAATAGACTATTGCCTAAACTTACTCACGCTAACATAGAAAGTTTTAATTAAAATACCATACACAATCAGGACTAATATTCTTTTCTTAATCTGACTTGTTCTCATTAAATAATAAATAAAAATAAAAAATATCTGCAACATATTAGTTTTCCTCCTTGCACTGCTACCTTCTTCTATATTGCTGACCCACAAATGCATCCGCAAAATTGCACTCCTCATGGACATTGATTTTGTCCTCAAGCTCAAAATGAGGATAAGAGTCTTGTAGGGCATCATCATTAGGGTGCATTCCTAATCCCTGTTATGGCATGGAGGGAGATTTTGAGATCCACAACGAGTCTGGTTCCTTGTCAAAGTCGATCCACAATGGGTCTGGTTCCTCGTCGAAGTCGTCCATCATCAAGCAGAGTTGACGTTTACACTGGTGTCCAGCAGAGAACGGCTCGTCACAATTGTAACAAAATTTCTTTGCATGCCTTTCTATCATCTCTGCTTTTGATAACTTCTTCATAAAATATGTCGATGTACTTCTCTGTCACCTGTTTTGATTCATGATTGACAGTGAGTGGAGCAGTTGAACATGTCATTGTTGGGGAAAACCTTTTAGAAGAAGTGCTTTTTACTCCCATTTCATTGGAGAGTTGCAACTTTCTGTCGAAGCCCGAGCTAAATTCATAACTGTAACCATATTAAGGGGTCGTTATGTGTCCACATCCACTTGTAGTGCCTCTATAAGTCTTGTGGTAAACAAATCAACTTGCTGATCACTCCTGATAGAAGTAGCTCTAGCAAGGAGTGTCTGGAATTGACTCTGATACTCTTTTATTGTCCCCACATGTTTGAGATTAGCCAATTCTCCTAGTGGATTGTTGCTCAAAGAAGGCTCAAACCGCAGAAGACAGTAGGACTTGAATTGTTCCCATATCTTTTAGGTTCACGTAAGCAAACCATAACTGAGCCTCACCTGTCATGTGGAAAGCCACTAAACCCACTTTTTCCTCCCTTATTCTCTGATTAAGGTCAAATTATTGACACCGATACAGCCATCCCAACGCCTCTATGTCATTATAGAATGGAAACTCTAGTTTGGAGTATCTAGAGACCACAATTGTCTCTACATGCCCTTTGTGATGTCCCCTTTGGGTTTGGTTATTTGGTGGTTGCTGTTGCCGGATCGAACCTCAAAATCTTGGAACTTACCCTTACCCAAAGTATTCAATTCCAGCATCTGTTGAATGACCTTCATATCGTCTCTCAACTCATGCAGCTCCTTACCAATCAGTTGATTGGATTCCACCATTCGACAATCCAAACCTTGCACCTTAGCTACCAGCTACTACTTGTAATCACCCATGGCGAATGGTTTTGATACTAAATTATTATGGTCCTGTGTCAAGGATCGCGTCACAGGTCTTTATAGAAAAATCCTCTTTCCCTTATTTTTTGGTTCC